TGACAAAATACATGAAGATGGGGATTTGAATTGGTACATATCCGTTCATAAGAAAACAGCTCTTTGTGTTAGTTTTTCGCAACATGAGAATCCAACAGTTAATACAATGAAAGATGCAGGCTTCCAAGCACCTTCACTTGCAATGGAGGTAGATTATAGAAACTTACAACGGCGTGAGGTCGAAGACATGCGTAACTTCACAACTGATAACGTTCTTGAAACTTGAAACTATATTGTATAATAACGAGGCGATCTTCGTACATAAAAACTCAGACAGTAGAGTCCATGGTTCAGAGGCTAAAAATGTTATCCGCGGTGATGAGCAACTGTCACCGCATTCCACGACATTGAAAATATACGAAAGAGTTAAAAGTGTGTGGATACGTCCTATATTGCTACAAGTCAAATTTTCTTTAACAATAAAAAGTTGTACACGAAACTTCACGTACTTACATTGACAGATAAGTTCCAATTTAGGGTTAGCAGATTGAGTTTGAAAAAATTGACCATTGTTTGTGCAAATACTAATTATAATTGGATGTTGCATGTATGAACAGTAAAGCAGCATGCAATATTTAAGGTTTGTAAATTTAATAATGTGCACACATGTTTTATTGACTTTGGTTGTAACGCATATTGGTATGCAACAAGTTTTGTTGTGGTCGAACATATAATGGAAAAACCAAATAATCCAAATTCCTAATATAATTCGTCACAAATTGTACATAATGTAGAACGGGAGCTATTTGTCAAAATCAGTTATAGTAAAACACGTAGAGGAAAGATAAATGCTTTAAAGATGCTAAATGGGATTCCAGAGGATAGTTTTCAGAAAATTGTCTTCGTACTTTCACGTTCTTGCAGAGATAAATTCAAGAATAGTGACTCACATCAACCTTGATTCCCGCGACATGTTTCATTGGCTGAACTCCAGATTGAGGAGTTACTTGAAATGCTGCCAAGATATCAATCTCCGACGAGCTAGGACAAGAGTAGAGGCTGTCAATGTGATTTCCTAACTAGTTGGTTACTTCTGTCTAGCATTTGTTACCAGTGTGCGTGGTTACTTGCAATATTTAAGGCTTGTCATATGTGTCGATGGTAGTCAATTGAAAGGTTTGTACAAGGATATTCTTTTGTTAGCAACATGACATGATGAAAATAAGCAAATATATCCAATAGCTTGAGGCATCATTGATGCAGAGACAAATAAATTGTGGATGTGGTGTTTCTCCAAGTTGAAAGATCTTATACGTGACTCTGACAAATTCGTCTTTGTGTCTGATCGAAAGAAGAGTATTAAGAAAGACACCTCTTACTTATTTCATGTAGAACATCATAGTTGGTATATGTGGCAAATAAGAATAACTTAA